GCTACCTGAAATAACCTCCCACTGTGTGATAAAACTTGCATGGGAACAGCCTTTTTGGCTTCAGATAAAACAATGAGGGCATCTTGGGTGAGTAGTATTTGGCTTAAGCTCACTGTATTGATAGCTTGGATTGCATTTCTAGTGTGTGTTCAGATGAGGTAAATGGTTTTGCCAGCGTAGGCAGGAATGAGGTGAATTGTCTAGGAGCAATAAGTCTTGTTTTTCATGTAGATGACTTCTTTTAAATCTAGATGCATGAATTGTTTAAGGGGCACTGTTTAGCCTTATGTTTACAAGGTGTTACCCTGGGTTTTGAGGGACACTAGGGAAGTAAATGAAATACAGATTTAGTTGATTCACACTGAGGGACTAAATATTCTGCTATGGATGGTTGACACTACTACTTGCATGACATCTGCCTAGCTGGGTTCTCGGCTGCATTCTGTGAGGTTCACTGCCAGCTGAAGGGGCTAAATGTGGCCATGGGTAGAGTATGGCTCTGCTCTGTACACAGCATTTTAGTGAACTAAATCAAGATGACTGCCTCAGCTGGAAAGGTCTGTTGTTTAGCCTGGTTCATGTCAATGCCTAAAGAGAAGTTGGACGCCACCTCTGCTCTGCCATATACATACTTTCCTTTGCAGAGCTGTGTTTTCCCTGTTTGGCAGCAGGGACTTCGACACCTTCCATTGAAATGTCTTTGCCATCTCCTGCCTTGATATATTTGCAGCAAGCAGTTGTTTTGAAACCTGGCATATCTTTCTAGTATGGCAGATTGCCTACTTGCTCTGAACAGCTAAACTGAGGGGAGATCTAATTCTCACAGAAAACAGCAGTGAATATTTTTCTGAGACACTCTTATAATTTTGTTTCAAAGCTTTCCAGCCTAGAAGGTTAACAATAAAACTGAAAATAGCATGGGGGCAGAACAGATCATCTTGGGGATGAGCTTATGTTTATAAAGCAGAGCAGAATTGCAGCAAGCCTGGGCTGTTGATATGATAGATAAAAGCACTTTCAGTGCTTACATTTGTACTTAAACCTGTAACAGTTCAAAGGTTTTGAAGTAGCTAATTCCCTAGCATATCTCTTAATTTATGACTGGCTGTGTCTCATATCAAGCTGCTCAGGGCATTAATCCATTCATTTAAGAGGGTCAGCTTTTCTGTATCTGTACTGCTGAGGGAAAGTGCCTGTATTGTCTTGTGCATGAGGAGGCTTTTCCTTTTAAATGAGGGCATAATTGTGCTTCCTGACTGTAGGGCAAAGTGCCACTCTGCAGTTCTAGACCAGGCTACTGCCAGGAACAGCGGAGCCAGCTCTGAGCAGGAATGGTTGTCTTGCCCTAATAAGGAGCCATGTTGCACTTTAGTTCTCGGCATATGGTGCTCAGTATCTGACCTGATCTCACTTTAATCGACCCCTTTGTTCCTATCTTTTCTCAATCTTCCCTCTTTCTCTTCTTTATTCTGGCTGTTGTCCTTCATCTACTTTTAATAGTCTGCCTGGGAATTGTCATAACTAATGGAAGTGATGAGCGGTGCTGGTGTTCAGGAAAGGCTGCGGTAAGAGGAGCTCTTAGCCCATATTGCTTCCCAAATCCCTGTTGTCTTTCACTGGTGATTCCCTTTCTGGTGCATCAGCCTTGGGAGAAATATGATGAAGCTTACATTGGCGAAAGGCAAAAAGTCATAACGAATGAGGCATTGTTGTGCTAGTGAAGAGCACAGAATTGTATTCTTACTTCTCTTGAGCATTTCGTGCTTCAAAGCGGTCTGCACCAGTATTTCTGCAGTCTTCTGTTTTGATTCTTGCTTCCTATGTAGTGTTCTTGCATGTACTGTACAGCTCTCAGGAAATCTCTGCCTCTCTTCCTTCTGCCAATGTTTTGTTCATTTATCCTAAACAGAGTTCCAACAGCTGAATTTGCCTGTGGGCTTCCAAGTGTGCTTTAGCCAGTGCCTTGTTCACAACCTCTGTCCTTATGCCACAGGCCTTGGGAGTGCCTCTGTCATGGAAACACTTGGGTCCAGGCACCTGAGCTGTGGGGCAAAACAGCTAAATAATATGTTGGAAAGGTAATGCACTGGCATCCAGAGACTGTGCCATCCCTTAGTTGGTTGTGCTATTATTTGCTTAGTTTCAGCTGTTGACCAGATGGCTTACATAATTCAGGATTTGTTTTGATGTTGTAGATGGTACTTACTTAACTTTCAGGATGTCTCAGTTATCTTACCAGATGATAATGTGATTGGACCTTACTTAAATAGCAGTTATTTAATGAACCATCCTCTGTCTGTTACTGCCATACATCTGAGGTCCCCAGATAGTTTGAAATAACTATACTGCTGCCTTGTAATGTGCATTGGGATGTGACTTTTAAAGAACTTCAGGTTTTACCTCTCCGTACTTGAAAAAAAGGGAGAGAAGGAAAGGAGAAGTAGCCTCGTCTCTTTTTACTTAAGAACTGCAAGATTGGAGCTTGCTGTTCCAATGGCATGCCCTGAACTACTAGTAAAAACATGTGGGAAAGCTGGTGAATTGATCCCTAACCCAGAGCATACATGAGCTTTCCCATTTACCTTCTAGCTGAAGCCTTGCTGCTTATGTCCAGTAACCTTATTTTTAAACCAGATCTGATTCATGCTCTATTTTCTATGCCAGATGAGGTCCTTGGTTGTGAGTAAGTGTTGTGACTGTAGCTGGCAGGAGCCCTGCATGATTGCCTCACTTCAGGAAATGTTAAAATAACACTTTTTTTTCTTAGAAAGCTAGTTTGCTCCCCTCCCACTTCTAATTCTCCTAATAGCTGCCCCCAGTTTGGCAGCTGTCTTAGAGGGTTGTTTGTGTTGCTGAGTGAGAGCAGAGACGCTTCGGTGGATGCAGTGCTGGAGGAGAGGTATGCAAAGTGAGCTAGTATCTCTAGCCAAGCTGGCTTAATCTTTTTAGAGGTTTCTCTGAAATTTGGAAGGAAAACTGCTAAACTGTTAGAAGAATCTTGCTCCTCCCCCTGGACTCTGAAGCTGGGGATTTTTTTCCTCTTGGTGAAGAGAAGCTGCCTCAACTGAAGATGCTTGAGACAAACCATACAGCAGGTTTATCTGCTCTCTTGACTACAGTAATTCAGTGGGGCCAGTAGTACTAATAGCTGCTGGAATGGATGTCCCCAGAGGTGGGGCCAGCAGATTTTGTCTGCTGTTTTGGACTTGCAGTCAGGCCTCTGAGGTACTTAGCAAAGCTTTAGTGGGATTGAAGAGAATTCTTTCCTCAAACCTGTATCAATGGCTGCTAGCTGCTTTGCTAGCTGATCTGTGAAAGGTTTGTAACTCTCCAGATGGAGAAGCTTTTTTTTCTTTTTTCTGCCTGGCTCCTACCTTGTTTGATCACTGCTATGGGGAGATGGTTTGTGGTCAATGTTTTATTTTCTTTTGGAACTGTTTGTGCTGAGGGGGGGGGGAAATTATTTATGGCTAGATAACAACACGCAGTACTTGTGTGTGTCTTTGCAGTATGCAGCCCTTACTCTAGGGGATGCTTGCATCCTAGAGGTTCCCCAAGAACTTTCATTTACAACTGTCAGCCAAAAATGAAGGCTGGAATTTAGTTTTCTTAAGCTAATGTCTGTCAGATCTTGGAGCACTGTGAAGGAAGCACTGGAGTATTAGCTAGGAGAACACAAAGTGGTCATCTACTGTGTTACATGAATAGGCTGTTTTGGACCCTGGAAAAAACCTTGCAGGTAGTAGGCCTGTTCATAGTGCTTGTTCTACTTGCCAGTCTGAGATCATCTTGAGCTAGAACACCAATATATCCCTTCTGAAATGCAGACTGCTTTACTTTTGTTTTAGTGGAAGCTATACTTAAATGTTTTGCATTTTGAAGGCTAGTTCCAACCTCTCTAGAGCAGCAGAGGGAGAAGTTTATTCAGTAATGCCGCTTTTCTCTCCTAGGGACAGCTCAGACTAAAGCTGTGCGGAGCAGTTATTCATATAAACCAATATCTCACTGCTAGGCATCTGTAGCATGTTACTACAAGGTCCAAAGACCTGTAGCGTTACAAATAACAGGCTGGGGGAGTTGATGCACTGGCATCCAGTGACTGTCATCCCTCGCTTGGTTTTGCTGTTACTTGCTTATTTTCAGCTGTTGACTAGCTGGCTTACATAATTCAGGTTTTATTTTGATGTTGTGGATGGTACTTAACTAGTGAACACAGGTGTTTGAGAAATTCACTGAAGCTGTTTGGACTCCTTTTTCTGAGTGTTAAATGCCTTGTGTGTTTTGGCTCCATTGTGGATAGCTACAGAGATGGCTTTGGCAGGAGAAATTCTTTGTGGTGGTTGGAAGAAGCTGGAGCAGTGAACAAGAGTGGGCAGCCTGGGCCTTCACTGGGATGTCTTGCTCAGCCTGACCTTGTGGTATGAACTAGGACTGGGAGAATAGATAAAACTATGCTTATGCAAGATATTGTTTTCAGTCATCCTACCAACTGAAGACAATCGGGAAAAAATTTAAGTCTCAAGCATTACTGTGTACTGGGTTCTGAGTCTTCTTCATTGAATGAACTCTTCTCTTGAATCTTCCAGCCTGGACAACATACAGGTGATCATGATGTAAAAGCAAGGTTTGCTGGAGGCAGCCTGAATACAGATGTGCTCTCTTACGGTTTTATGATACAGCAATAAGGACCAGTGCATTCACTATAAAAAGATTATGAGCTCTGGTGGCTGAGTCTATACCTTCCTTAGACAAAGAAGCAGAAATTCAAGTGCCTCTCTGAAGGGGCCATTAGCAACTTAGTACACATTGATTTGATCTATATGCTAGGTCTGCTCTGCAGGGTGTACTGCATAAATAGCATGCGTTACCCTTCCTTGCTGGTGGAAAGGAAGGACAAGCTGTCAGGATAAACTGATTAAAATTCTTCTCTGTAAATGTTGCATACAAGGCTGTATGTGCTAATGTTTAACTTGTCTCTTGTTTTTCTTTCCACCCATTAGGCAATACTGACTGGTGCACATCTTGACAAGGTCTCCTAGCAACCTTTTCTGTAGGGCTGAATGACAGCAGGAACGGCTGGGTGAATCGATGAGCTTGTCTGGGGAGCCTAGAAATAGGCCAAATCAGAACACACAATGGGTCAGAAGGTCACAGGTGGGATTAAGACTGTGGATATGAGGGACCCTGTATACAGGCCATTGAAACAGGAACTCCAAGGACTCGACTACAGCAAACCCACACGTCTAGACTTGCTACTGGACATGCCTCCAGTATCATATGAAGTCCAGTTACTGCATTCATGGAACAATGATGATCGCTCACTGAATGTATTTGTGAAAGAAGATGACAAACTCATATTTCACCGGCATCCGGTGGCTCAGAGTACAGATGCCATCAGAGGCAAAGTGGGATATACACGAGGACTGCACGTGTGGCAGATTACGTGGGCAATGAGGCAGCGAGGCACACATGCTGTAGTTGGGGTGGCAACAGCAGATGCCCCTTTGCATTCGGTAGGGTACACGACGCTTGTGGGAAATAACCATGAATCTTGGGGGTGGGACCTTGGGCGCAACAGACTGTACCACGATGGCAAGAACCAGCCAAGTAAAACCTATCCTGCCTTCTTGGAACCAGATGAAACTTTCATTGTGCCGGACTCCTTCCTAGTGGTTCTGGACATGGATGATGGAACACTGAGCTTCATTGTAGATGGGCAATACATGGGTGTTGCATTTCGGGGACTCAAAGGGAAAAAGCTATATCCAGTGGTGAGCGCAGTGTGGGGACACTGTGAAATACGGATGCGCTACTTGAACGGACTTGACCGTGAGTATAATTCCCTGTATTTGTTCTAGTAGCACAGATCTGTGTGCTATTTCAGTGTAGGCTTGCTAGACCATCCTGGGGAGGGTTTTCATTTTCCTAGAGGTGAAGATTTCATGTCAGCAGTAGGTTTGCTGGTTATAGCTCTGAATCCTTAATGGTTAATTCAGGAAGTTTGTCTGGCTGTATTTGTGTACTGTTACCAAGGTACTGCAGGGACCAAGCAGAGTTTGGGGTGGTAGTATGGTAGAAGAAGATGATGCCAGTTGTTTGTCTAGCAATGACAAACCTTTCTATATTGCTACCAAAGTATCAGCAGGAATGTCCTTCTGACAGTTACATTGTTGGCAATGTAATCCTGTTGGCTCTTTACAGGAAACAGTCTCTGAGGGACAATCACCTTCCTTACATGGCTAATGAAGGGACTTTTAAAAATCCTTTGCAGGCAAGAGTGGGAAGATCTGTTCCTATCTTAAGGAAATGGGAATATCTCCTTCTTCAAACAAGTAGCTCACTTTTTTCTTCTCCCAGGGCAGGGTGTGCTCATTCCTAGTGTGGGGCTGGATACTGTAGCCAGCCCAACTTGCACGCCAGGCCTTTTACTAATAGGGACATCAATCTCTAGCTAAGCTTAGTAATAAATTTGGCTGTCCAATGTGCTCAAGTCTGTTATCTCTCATAGTCAGAGGAAGTTGTCCCCATGGGGCCAGACTGATACAGTCCTCTGGGTAGGGTGGAGGAGAGAGGTGAAGGAAGTAGATTAAAATATGGATTTATGTTGTTAGTGAAATAAATTTGGCAGTATTGATATGAATAGTGTTTCCCCTGCATTCCAGTGTCTGTCCAAAGGCTGTAGCATACTGGGCTCTTACGTGTGCTTAGAATATGTTCTAATGTGGGGCCAGCAATGGCAAACCCCTGGCAACGGTGACATGAGGTACAACAAGGCTGACACGGGGCACCAGAAAAACAGCTGTCAGAATACCCAGGAAAGCCTTGCAAAGGGATAGGAGCAAAATCCCCAAGTGGTTTGAGAAATATGCTCCGACTCCGCAAGACCAAATAGAGAGTTTTTGGCAGAGCACTTTCTCACCAGAAAAAAAAAAAACTAGCTTATTTTGCCACAACAGCTTACAGAATGGCAGCAGCTGCAGTAACCAGTTTTTTCTGAAGGGTCAAAGCCAAAATCTGCAGCTCCCCTCAAAGTCAGTAAGTCTGTGGAATTACTGGCACAGAACTGCAGTTAGCAAGGAAACGGCCACCTCCAGTATTGGATTTGGTTGTAATGTGCTCTCAGCATAGGAGTGAATTGTGGGCGTAAGGCCAGGAATGACGGGACGCTATTTTGGCACAGATAGAAAGAAGGTGTCTGGCTCTAACCACTTATGAGCATTCAATAGCAACACTGTCCAGTGATTGTAGTGCTTGTGAATGGAAGGAAGTCAGATATGTGTGCTTTCTCTTTTGGTCTCGAGATCTCCTGTCAGACTGGGTTATCAGTGCAAACTAGATGAGGACAAAGTTCTTGTTCTTAAGCTCAGTGGGAAGAAGATCCTCTCCTTTTAAGGCCATTAGACTGGAATGTATTTGTTTTGTTAATGTCTATAGGCTTTGAAGGTCAGGGCCCCTTGTCCTCTGGGATGCTGGGTAGACAATGTCTTTGTCTCAGCTATCTCCATACAGAGCATGAGGAATTGGGACAGACTTGGAGTACAGAATATTCTTACCCCAGTAGTTTAAGCATAAGCTATATTGGGAAGTGCCAAAGTGGTGTTGCCAGTAATAGGCTTCTCTGGCAGTATCGTAGCCAGAGCTGATATCTGCAGTCCAGCTGTAGAGACCTGTCCCTGCGAAAGACGCAGGTTGGATCATGAAGTAGGTCATGAGCAGGCAAGACCAGCAGTCCCTTGGGCTGAGTGCAGCCATATTTTTCACTTGTGGCACAGAACATCTATGATAAATAGTGGGGTTTGGGAAGCAACAGCGCTGCCCTCACAGTTCTGTTTGCTCTCCAGCCAGCTATCAGGGCAAAAGGGGTGTGCATATAGAGGTATGATTCCTTAGTAATAACTAATGCTTGCAATACTGGGAGAACTTTGGGCAACTGCTAGAAAAAACATTGCACAGCAGATTGCCCTGGAGCAGGTAATAACTTCTGGTCCGTAGGAGGGAAGGAGAGGGGGGAAACAGAGCATTAGTTTAGCTCCGGCTGCTAACTTGAAGAGGAGACAGACCAATTCAAGCATGCATACCCTGACTTTGTTACCAAGTTTCCTCAGCTAACAAGCTCTGCTTCTCACAGACTTTCTGCCAAAAACTAGATCAAAATTAGCTTTTTCCACTTTGCACTGGAAGTGTTTTCTACATGGAGTGGTATGACTGTTTACTTTTTCCAAAGTAGAATCGAGAGTGGCTTGATCAGAGGCTACTGATGCCACTCTTCTGTTTGAGATTTTCATTGCTAGCTGGTATCTTTGAACATGGAAGGGACTTGCATTCACCTTATTGACGGAATTAATTCTGGTACAAAATGCAGTAACATGACCATGCTCAGAAAAACTAAACTTTCCCTGCCTCAGCTGTTTAAAACATCTGTATGAACAGTCAGATTAATTTGGCTTGTAGTAGTGGAAGCTAGAGAGGTTGGCATCTATTAAGGTTCCTGAAAGCTGCAGCTTTCCAGCCAAACTTTTCCATTCCTGTGGATGTTTGTAGGTATCTGGGTTCATCCCAAGATGCCTGTAAAGGAAGCTTTCTAATGGTGCATGTTGAGCCCTCAGGCTACTAGAAGGATGTCCAGTTATCTGTTTAATTTAGGATGTCTTTGTGTTAGCTCCCTCTTGGGGGAGGAGAATCCCCTTAGGCTTGAGCAGCATGCTGTGTAAAGGTGAGCTTTGATAGATTAGCAACAGAAGCTGTAAGAAACTAGTCTGTATCTTCCTTCTGTGCAGCTGCAATATCTTAACTCTGGCTTTGACCTTAGTCCCCTGTATGTTGTGAATGACTTTGCTGAAAAGGGCCCCATATGACATTCCTGAAAAACTAGTATTATCTTGTTCAGTGTTTATAAGTACAGGATGCAAAAAAGATAGCCAAAGGCTTGTATCTTTCCCAGGTTTGACATGCGAGGGAATCCTCCAATGGAAAATGCAACAATACAGGTAGTGATGTGAAGCTTTGACAGATGACTTTGTTTTTCGTGGGAAGTATGTAGCGCAAATGAAGGGGTTGACAGCTGTTATCCTACTCTAAGAGAAATCATGGTACTTTCTGGGTAGCCATACTACATGATGCTGTCAGACTGTTTTCTTGCAGTCTTTTACAAAGTCTCTAACAAAGATTTTTGGATACTGCATTAAGAGGCACAAGCTAGAAGTGTTCTGACTTGAATGAATGAGACTGCAGAGGGGGAGCATTCATTATGGGATTCTAGTATTTTTTTTCTCATACACATGTGTATGGCTTAACTTCTACAGAAACATCATGCTCTACCTGTGTATTTGAGCTGGAGTTGCTGATAGGTGAATGCTGAACATGCCAGGCATTCACTTTTCTTGCTCAATCTTTTCTGGCACACTTTCAGAACTAGCAAAATGAATGTGTAACTTGTGGGTTGGGTTGTTAATGTCTTGGGTCTCTCTTCCCAGCTGAACCACTGCCTTTGATGGACTTGTGTCGGCGAGCTGTGAGGCTTGCTCTGGGCAAGGAAAGACTGAATGAGATCCCTACACTGCCACTGCCAGCCTCCCTCAAGAGTTACCTGCTCTACCAATGACCTTCGTGTTCAAGGATAGAGAGTTGGAACCAAGGCAACATGTCAGAGCTGACCCACTGAGCAATGGGTTCTCCACCTTCGTGTCATCGCTACTGTTGGAACTCCTTGGCCAAAGTATTCCTGCCACTGCTTAAGTGTCTGTGTGCCCTTATTGGCAAGCTCTCAAGTAATCCTTGTTTCACAACTGTTTTGTTCTTTGGAAGTCACTTCCCCAGCACACTTACAAAAGGAACATTTACAGAAGCTCTGTGCTTCCCTACTTTTCCTGAGAAAAGGCTGTACTGCATCCTTTGGGTTGTAGAGCCTAGGAGCGAATGATTTTTTCTGTCCAGCAAAAGGAAAGAACATAGTTTGGGAGAAGGGAAGGCATTAGGAGTGGAAATCTTAAGAACAGAGAGGCACAGGGTGGCCAGCAGAGTCTGGAATACTCTTTCAGGAATTAATTGCTGAGTTCTTAAAAACCAAAAAAAAATACAACCCCAAGCCCTGAAACACCAAAACCAAGAACCCTTCCACCAGGATGCTTTTGAATTTGGGGAAGGTGGTTGCATCACTGATGTCTGTGTATCTGCCAGGATTCCTCACCATGTTCTAATGTTATTTCATAGATAGTGAATCCTCCTTTCTTGTTTATCACTATTGCTTTCTCAGTTCTCCTGCTCCATTCTCTGTTCTGCTTCTTCTTACAGCTTTGATTCAATTGATCAAGCAGTCATACTGTGTCTTCACCTGCCCTCTTCTTCCTGACTTAGAACTGCAAGTTTTAGTCTGGGATCAGGGGTTCCTTGGTGACGTGGGGACATGGAACGGACAAACTTTTCCTGCAATAGGTTGAGACGGGCTGTATGAGCTGAGATTTGTCACACAGCTATAGGTCCTGCCATCTTAGGTCTGTTTTCTGTGTAGCCTGCTCCATCTTAAGGCTTTAGAGAAACATACTGATGTGTTTCTCTAACAGCTCTGCCAGGGAATTATTTTCTTATCTAAGGTGCTTAAAGTCATCTAAACCAGGCTTTGTTCTGCCACAGACCATCAGCATAATCTTAATTTAACTATGCAGCAGGAATAGTTCTCTCTGTCTTACTTGGGGGTGGGAAGTTGTCCTAGAGAAGGTGGTACCATCAGCAGATGAGAAATCCAGAAAGTGTTTGCTGCAGAATGTAACTTGTGAGACTTCAACAGAGACCAGGGGAGTGATCTTCAGGCACATGAAGAAGAAACAACCTCTCCAGAGCTGGAGGTGGGGGGCAGGAGAGAACTGCAATAAACAGAACAAGCAATTCAGGCAAAATCAGCACATCCCAAATAGATTCTCACCTCAGTAGACAAGTAAAGAGGATGACACTCCTTTACTAGCAGGAGCTGCTCTCTTGACCTCTCCACAGGTTACTATGCTGCCTTTCTGGGGTTATTTTGCACATTTCTTTGTCTTGAAAAATGTTTGTGTGGTTGTTTTTTTTGCTCTTGAGTTATCCCTTTGGTTCTGTGTTAGGTACAAATGAGTTTAGTTGTTGAAAATGTTAATATATATATATTTGTGGTGTATGTATAAGAACATGTTTTAAACAGCTGCTGTAGGGTACCTTTTTTAAAATAAACTACTTGCATAGTATATTTTTTAAAGCACAGAATTGGTGCCAAGACTGGGTGGGGTGTGATATGCCCCTTTTTAACCTAATATTATATAGTTTTTTTAATGTAGGGGTTTGTACTAGTTTCTGTTACAGGGTGCAACACAACAGAATTCAGTGTGTATGGAGCCCTATTTGGTTGCCTTCAACTTGAACCAGTGTCTTCCAGGGAAGCAGCTGTGTTCTCCCTACTTCTAATGCTCTTGGTCCTCCCTTGTTTCCATCTCTTCTCACTTCATCAGGACATTGCTTTGTACAGTTTTAAATTCTGACTTTCTATTTTATGACTGTAGATAATACTCAGTAACCTAATAAACTTTATTAAATATTACTTGATGCTGGTTTTTATTTGCATGAAATGATCAGAGTTCTTTATCTAGTTTCTACATGAATGGTGAGTTTATTTCTAAGAAGCCAGCCCAAACAGGTAAAGCAAAGGCTGTTGTGGCCTTGTCTCTGCTTGGAAGAATAACAATTTAAAGCTGGCATGTAAAAGGTGTGTACAGGTGGGTGGGTAAGTGCAGCTATTGGTACAGGGTGGTAGAGTGTGGTAACCTGAGATGTTGTACAGCTGCCACTAGTGCCTATAAATGGCTACTCCAGATGGAGTTGAATAAAATCTGTGGTGAGGAAGCTGCCTTGGTTTGCTAATTTAACTTGGTTTACAACTGACTTATTACACCATACTCACTTTTCCTTCAAATAGCTTCAATAGACAGGGCTGTGATTATCTTGCAAAACTTGATGCATTGTGCAGGTTTGCAAGTTTCACTCCTAAATTACAGCAAACAACTTTTTCTCCCAGAAAATAAACTCATATGAAAACAAATCACTAATCTATTACCTACTTTATGTTGATACCTGGCTGTACTTCTTCATAGGGAGACAATGGATAGAAGAAAGCAAATGAAAATGGTGAGGGCTAAAGGGATCTCTAGCTGGTAGAACAGTACAGTTAATCACAGAAGGTGCTGTGGCAGGTTGAGCTGAGTGTTGGGAGGGTCACTGTATCGTGTGCTTGAAAAATAGCTGATTTGATTTCAGTATGTTCTGAGTAACTTCAAGTCATGAACTTGCTTTAGCTCAAGTCACTTGGTGATAGTTTTCAGTTGCTCCCTACCCACTGCTGTAAGTTGTCTTGTTTACATATATTTTGTGATCTGTTTGCACAAGAGGCGTCATTCCTGGGATGTGAGGAAATATGGATTATATAGTTTGTGGAGTAAAAAAACTGTTTGCTTGCTGGTTGTGCCTTCAGTCTCCTCCACTTCCAACCTGTGCAATACAGAAATGTTCTTGCATTGTTTCAGCAGTCAGGTTAAGCCTCTCCAAACTGACTGGAAGTGAGGTGACTTGATACTTTTGTCAGTTATGACAAAGGCTTTAATTCCCCTTCCTGTCCACACACTTCTCTATCATCCCTGCAGCTACCAACTTGTGTGTGGAAACCAAATGATTTAATCAGTTCACACAAACACTACAACATGTGAGGCTCAACTGGAGCTCAGAGGTATGCCTATGTACTGCCTTATAAGGGTATTGGGTGAGGAGAGCTTTAAAAAAAAAAAAGGGGGGGGGGGCAAAAAAGGCAAGTGGTTTCTTGCCTTTGTCTCCAGTCAGGGCAAGATTTTGTATTTTAGAATTTTGGATGTCATAATCTTGTTAGTGTTTTTTTTTGTTTGTTTGTTTTTTATCTTCTACATGTGAGGAAACTGTTTGTAGATCCTAGCCCTAAATATCCAGCATATTCAATTATCATCAGTTTTGTTTTGTTTTGCTGCAGGTAGTGGAGGACTTCAGTGAAACATCTCCTGCCTATATGTGGACAAGGGCAGCTCCCCCTTGCCTTTCAGGGGAGGCTGCCTCTGCTTTGCTGAAGTGTGGCTGGAGGGGTTCTGGAAGAACAGCAGGCTGGGGAGGGTGCAGAAGGTGGGGCGGGTGCAGAAGACTGAGAAATTAGTTCATGCTGGGCTCCAGACACCCAAACAGGCTTGTGTTCCAGCTGCATGGAATATTTGAAACAAATGACCTGCTGAGGGCTGGGAGTCTGCAGTGTTTATGTACAGTGCCATGGCAACAGTGGAGGAAGTCATGAGATGGGGATTGGACCTGGTGGAATCAACAAATGATATCACAGATTAGCAAGTCCTAATGAATCAGTGGCTTTCTGCTTCCCTTGCTATTGCCTGTGTTCACCACTGGCATGTGGCAGGCAAACTTACTGCTTTCCATGTAGCATTAAAAACCTGTAAGTTCTCTTTGTGTCAGGGCCTCCTTGAAAACCAACCCTGTTACCCTGGTCAGCATCTGTCTTATCTTCCTGCTGTTGCTGACTAATCACGTTTATGTAGTTGGAACTGTTCCTACGTTTTACAGGAGGCTTCTGACCTTGATAGTTTGCCTAATGTTGCACTGCTGGTGATACAGAAGTGCTGTGGCAGTTCTGCAGAGAATCTTGGCATCCTTGGCATGCTCTAGACAAGCAATGGGGTAGCTTTTATTTCTTCCTGGAGGTTGAGGCTTTGGTGAGAGAACTCTGAGTCTAGAAAAGTATGCGAGAGGGGAAAGTGTTCAGTGGAGTTTAGTAGCTGATAAGGAAGTATGTCATACTATGATAGCAGTCCTGTCACAATTCCTTTCAAAAGGAAAGCTTGCCTTGAGTGCAGGTTACACTCCTGTGCACCGTGTCTGTGCCAACAAACATACCTATTGTGGATCTTGGTCAAAGCTATGACAGTGGCAAGACAGAAAAACTTGGGGGGGACAATTGGCAATTCTCTCCTTTATCTGCAGAACTGATAATTTATTTTTGAGCTCAGCCAACTTCCCTGCTGGAGCCTAGATGTCAGTCTGTACCTGTCAAGTCCTTAGCCGGTACCAGCATGAGGCAATTTGACCTTTCTCTGTGCCCGAGATGTGCAAACTCAGAATGATATGTATCATACTTTTAAGAATTTGTTTTGGCAGTCACACCTTCTCTTCTGCATAAGGTAAGACAATTATGAAAAACATTCTCTCCCTTCTCTACAATATGCTTCCTATGTAGAGCTAATGCTGTTGATCTTATGCCAAAGACTATGTTGTATTTGACTGGAGAAGGAAATAAGTAGTGATTTATTTAGTGAAGTTTATTAAAATTAAAAACTGAACCCAAAGAGCAGCCTTTCTTGGCATACAAAACAATGCTGAAGGGAACAAAACTCATTCAATGCTTGCACAAAACACATTGACGCACTGATCCTGTCCTTGTTCATGTTTTGATTCGAAACTATTGCAGGCTTGTCTGCCCTTCAGACAGAAAACTATTTGAAGCAGCTGCCAGATGTTTTGTCTGACTTGTGTTTTACAATTTGCTTACTGCTTAGCAGTGCTCTTCCCATCGGGTGTTCAAGCTGCCCTTGTGCATTCTGTTCCTGTGGCACTTCTGTGCTGGCTTCCTCCCCCTTCACCATAGTCACATATGCACACAGCACAGGGGAGATACAAGTCTGAGTATTTTACTCAAAGGCTTTGTATCACATGTCTGCCGCCCAACCTGCTGGCCTCTTCTGGGACCTTTCCTGGGACCAGCGCAGACCAGCCACATTCCTCTGCTCACATGTTGCCACAGTGTATAAAAGTTAAGGTGATTTACAGTCTCTTATAAAAGCACTTATGGCCTGAATTTAGACCTTGCTAAACAACCTTACACTGAACACCCACAGTTCATGGCTTGGGCAGCAGTTCTGACTAGCTGTAACTTAGCCAAGTTATATATCTTTTTTTTACCCCTATGAGTAAGATGGGCAATAAATTCTCAAATACAATGAAGTGGGGTAAAGACCTTTGTGTTTTTTCAGAACTGTGACAAATTTGACTCAGTCAAAAGATGTAGCTGCTGAACAGGGATACCTCAAGATTTCCTTTGTGTTTGCTCAGCTTCAGGAGCAGCCCTGCCAGTTAAATTATTTGTGTAAAATTTCTCAGCTGGGAGCACTCTGATATGCCTGCAGGTTTAGAAGCACACATCCCTGGCTTTGGTTTTGCACTGCTCATGCTCATACAAAACCACATCTATACAAGCATGGCATCTTAAGTCAGAGTCCTTGTTAAATGGGTTTAACCTGCAGTTTTTCACTTTGCACAGATTTACATCTTTTAATAATAAGAGGGCTTGGGTCCACGCTTATTAGGGACCTAGTGTGGCATTTCCCTCTAACACTATGTATGACTCTTCTACAGTCAACAGCTTTGTGGCCCGGGCAAGCTTTGCTGTACAATAATACTGAGAGGGACATAAGCCAAGAAATAGATGCTACTTCTGGATAACCTTCTAGATAGCACCTTGCTTGTCCTGATGAGTTCCATAAATGCCTATTCCTATCAGAGTCTGTCACCATTCCCTCTCATAACCTTTGGTTAAGCTATTAACTATTATTTATGAGGGCCTAACAAAATTTTACTGTCTATAACCTGCACAAGCAAACATGCTCTCCAACTTACGAGAGGTACGTAGGCAGGCGAGAAACACATGCCTAAACTGGCAACTGGCTAGGACTTAGGTGTCGATCTTTTTTTTAAAAAAGTACTGAGGGTTTCTCACAGCAGAGGGTCTGAACTATTTGTTCTCTAACTTCTTCCAGAGCAGATACCTTTGGGAGTGCAGAACTTTCTCACAGGCTGTGCAAGTGGTATGTGGATCTGAAAGGTAAAGTGCCACCTACTGAACCAGTAATTTAATTTCCTGCAACATGCTGGATGTTTCCTTTGGAAGAGGACCACCTAATATTGATAAGGTCTGTTCCTACTTAATTTGAGGTCTAACAGAGAGACGATTGAGGAGTAACAGCTGTTACTCCTAAATATGATCTGTATTTTTCAAACTGTCTAGACACCTGGGTGGGTTGCACACATTACCGGCAAAGCTAGTTAATCATGTCAAACTTTTTCTTTTACGAAGGCCCGGTTTTGCTTTGTTTTGTTTAATGAGCTATATGGAAACCCAGGGCAAGACAGTGAATTAAGCAGACAAGTGGGGAAATTTGATCGCTACGGCTGACATTTTGACATTTTTTCTTCTGACCTGGTAAAGACACTGCATGAATTTCATGATTTCAGTAGTTATTTGCTGTGGTGTTTGATAACAACACTGACACAAACCCTTTAAACAGTAAGCTGTATTGATGTATCGCATGTGGTCTCTGTGAAATGCTGTTAAATGAAAACTGACAGAATTTGTGCTGCACAATAGGAAATTACAGCAATGAAAATTAGATTTACAGAAGGCTAGAAGTAAAGTTTTCAATTGATTTTTGTATAGGAAAACCTAGACGAAGGAGCACTCAGAGTCCT